TGTGACAGCAAAAAACGGCGAACAAGAATGATTGTTTAAATTGCAGCATATACTTCCAAATTATGTAACGCTAAATGAACTTAATTGAAAAATTCCTAAACAGAAAAATTGGCTTTATTAAAAATGCGTAAAAATGTAAATATTTATTTATTAATGGGGGAGGAATTTGAAGAAAATAATAATACTTATGAAAATATTGGAATTATTTGAGAAAAGTTACAGAGAGGCAAATAAAGAATAATTATATTTTAGTATGAACATTAATGTAAACTGAAAATGGCACTGTAACATGAACACTGGAGTAATCTGTTTAAATAATTTTAGGTTCTATAAAATTGAATTATTTAAAAAATCTTATACAATTAATTAAGACTTATTAAAATAAATATAATAATAGAATATTCAAAATACTCATGTAATACAGTTTATTTTTATAATGTAAAAATAAATAACAAATTAAATTATAAAGATAGATAATTTTATAAAAAATATAATTATTTAAATATTTATTCTTTAATAAAATAATATATTTAAATTTTTATAGTAGTATTTACTAAACTAAATTTAAAATAAACCTTTTGACCAATTTTGATTAATGTTTGATGTCGCGCTTCACCTTGTTCCTTGTTATTCTTTCACTCTTTTCAACCCTTTGAACTCCGCCATTTTTCACCAGCTTTCTTTCTTGGTGGCGAAAGAGATTGGAAATTAAATCAATGATTCATGATGCAGGGACGCACAACGCAGCCAGGCATTCGGTATGGGGTTGCGCAAAAATAATTAATGAGGGCGCTACACTAATTCCGAAGCACGTCGATCATAAATTAACAGCGGCGGCGGCAGAAATCGTAAAATACCCCTGGGTTATTAGAAAAGCAGCAGACGTACTCTCCCGTTTCGTTGTATATTTCCGTCGAGAGAGAGCATTTTTGCATAAATCTCCTTGTTTTATTTGAATATTAATGAAGAAAAAATAATAATTTCTCGCAGCCGCTCTCACACACACATTCACTGACTGACTGCAAATATAAAAAGCTGCAGCGGCGTATATTTATATTGCCGGGCACGGAAGGGTTTTATATTTGTAATTTCTGATGGAGGCAGTTACTATGCCAACAGAACGAGAGTGAAATAAAATTTTGTTACCCTTTTTGGAAAGCGCGTTATTCACCCCTTTCGGCACACGCAGCTGCCGCTATTTAATATTCAAGCTTCGATCTTTCTCTTTCAAATATATAAAAGGGAATGCGATCATTAAATTAGAAGGCAAAGAGAGAGAGAGAAAGGATAAGAACAAGTGTAGCATGAGGGTGCCGCCTGCCGCCCGTAAAAACCCTTAAGTCTGTCGCTGTCCTTTTTACCCTTCCTTTCCGCCGGCTCGAAATAAAGAATTCTCCGCGCCGAAAAAACCACTAATCTCTCTCTTGCCGTAATATCGAGTAGCGATTTCAGAAGATAATACAAAAAACCCTTCTCGCTCAGTTCAAGTGTAAAAAAGACATCTCCAGAGTAAAGAAAGGGGGTGCATTTTTATCCCTTTCTTCTTTCTCTCTCTCCCTTTTTTTCGGTGGTGGCTGATGGGTATTGGATTGATGGCGGGATAATCTCTTCATTAGCCGCTGGAACGGAACTGTTGCTTTTTTAAACTCATCGGAGGGTTGATTTCTGCGTCAATGACGAGAAGCTTTGCATGCCCTTTTTTATCAATTGAAAATTTAATAATGGTTTTTTAAACTACTATCGCTCCCTGATTAACAACATGAGCAATTTTTTTACAATTTTTCCTTAACGCTCGTCTATTTTTTTTATTATTATTTTGTGCAATTTGTAAAAAATAAAAACAATCACCCAAACAAGAATATTATTTTCAATTTGTGTCTGTGAAACAAAAATAAAATTTAAAATCATTTAAATTTATGAGGCCAATTTTTGTTACTACTTATTATTAATAAAATTCCAAGCACGTTGGGCATAGGGGCATGTCAATATAATATCATAAAGCATGATTCACATACACGACACGCCGATAATAATTGGCAAGGCAATAAATGTACTCGGGAGAGCAAAGGAATCTCCCTATGTCCTTTTTCTCTTATTATTTTCGTCCCCTTGCGTCCTCCTCCTTTCCTCCCTCGTCATCTCCAGCTCATAAACGGTTGCCGAAATTCTCAATAAGTCGCGTCTCTAGCGCTGCGTCACATAATTTATCTTGATCACATCCTAAATCCCTTTCATTATTGCACTCGGCGAATGTCGCTTTGTGGAAGCCGCCAATACGTTTTATTAAATTTTCGGCCAACAAGGATCCCACATCAGTTCAATGTTATTTGATGGGAAAAATTGATCTTATTAGATAAATTTTTTACAGAAAATTGAGGGAAGTAAATTTTATTTTAAATAATATTAAAAAGAGAATTAAATTATTAATATGTATATCTTTCTCCAAACATCTGGGTGTGATTTCCGACAATGGAGTTGGGTTAAAAGTAATATTTAACGATTAAAATTGTTGGATAAAAAACATTGTTGATTGCTCGGCATGGTTCAAAATTTTCCATTATCAATTCTATGCGTAATAAGATAATTGTTTGTTGTTATTCAATATTTATTTTTTTATAAAGATAAGAGATAAGTATATCTAAAAACGTAGAAAAACAACGGACTGATAACAGATATCTTTTAAATGATTGTAAAAGTCAATTAAGTGCTAAAAATTAATCACTTATTTTTAAATTAAATTTTAACTTTCACGTGTTGCCTCAATTTTTGTTTCAATTTTACGCTCGACCTACTCGCCACGTCACGCCCGATCATGTTGAACAAACAACAGGTTGCAAAAATACGCATTTTATTTTTCGAAAATAAATCGCCGCCACCCTTCTCTCCCGTGTATTTCGCACGAATACATACAGGTTGGTGCGAAAAAAAAGCGCGGCGAGTGATTGCCGGGCGGTTCGCGTTCGCTCGCTCGCTTTTAACAACTCGCTCCATTGAAGCATGTGTCTGTCGGCCCGTTCATTCATTCATCGGGGTGTTGGCTCCTCTCTTTTCACATTTTCACCCCTGTGTATCACGAATAAATACACTTTGCTGGTGGGTGTGCGGCGAGAGAGTGAATTAGTGAGTGAGCGAAAGCGAGGGTGATTCAGCACCCAGTGTGTGATTTGTATCGCCCGGCACCGAACACACACACGCCGACCAGCAGCCCTTTATTATTAAATCATAATCACTGATAAATTGTGTGAGTGTGTCGGTCGTGATTGTTTGCCCCTGATCTTTGCGAAAAAACAATGGCAACAATTGTTGGTTGAATAAAAATGCAAACAGAGAAAAAGCAGGTTTTAAACGATTATTTTGAGCACCTCTCTTATTTCAAATTGTACTTTTTTTGCACATTTTCCAAAATTGTTTAAAAAAAAATTATGAAATAGGTTGAATACAAAATTAGCGTATTTGTAATTAATTAAATTTTAATTTGTTCAGTCACATAACCACCGGCTTTTCTTGATTTATTTATTTCAATTTATTTAATAAATTACACAGCCGATTTTTTTTATTTTTTTTGGAACATTAAATATATTATCATATGAAGGAATGGAAAGTTGGTGATCGTAAGCAATAATAAGGAGGTTTGATATTGAAACAAAAGAGCAATTATATAAGTACAATTTTTTAGCCAAATAATTTACCTTTTTTTAATACTTCACCCACTTTTTATTTATTTTTGACTTGCTATCGTGAGGAAAAAATCATTTTTGTTCTTGGCTAAAAATATTATAAGAACTGAAAATCCAAATCATCAATCTGTGTAAAATTGTGCACTATTTAAGAATTATTCAATCTCATTTGAAAAAAAAAATCAATTGAAAGGAAACACTTTGCTCAGAAAATTCACTTTCTATCACGTACTCGCTTGAAATATTTTTAACTGGCTTCATTTTTTACATACATATTTTTTTTTCAAACTATATCTGCTGCGATGGAAAGTTTTGTAGAGATCAAAGGCAAAATCCGCGGGTTCAGCGGTATATGCGAAATTTGCTGCGCCCGTTTGCCGGCAGGAAACGAATTTGAAGGGCGCACATGCACATTTTTTACAGATGACTCGCGTTTAAAATTGTGGCTGTTGATAAGTGGCTCGTTAAATCTGTTAGACAGATAAGTCAGATGGGTGGAGAGCGAGTTGCGACGAGCAGAGAGCAGCCGAGCCAATGTTCCGCAACAACGATTTTGAATGTGTATATCTCTCACGATGAGGGTGCACGGCGTCGTCCCTCGTCGCGAAAAATTTTCTTCCTGCAATCAATGCGAAATGACATCCTCTCTGGAAATATATAAGTATTTAAATGCTCGCAGAAAGAGCAGATCTGTGAAGCGTATATTGGGCGAACGAGAAAGGTGCTTTCGCCGGCGGGAGAGGAAGAGAGACACGCGCAATCAAAGTGAGAGGAAGACTGGAAAACCACCTCCGTCCTGCGATATTTTTCGTGAAAGGACTGATGTCGAATCCGTGTTTCGAGCAAAACGATGGGAATATTGTTATGAGAAAAAGAGCAGAAGGGCTGCGCCGATCGCAAAAGGGCCCGTCGTCCGTGGAGATCAAAGGCGGCTGACGTCATTATTTCAATACGTCTCATTATAAATCCGTGGAAGGCTCGGCGAGATTGTTATATCCGAACACTTGACTCGACTGAAAGGACCGCAAAAGCCGGCGGGATGAAAAAAAAGACATACGTTCAAATAAATCACTGCACGCCGATTTGTGTTTGTGACGTTGAGTGGAAGAGACAACAAGTGCAAACGCGTCAGAATTTTTCTACCTACGCAAGTGATAAAAAGAGCAAGGTTTTTCTTTGAAGATATGCAACGCAATATTGAAATAATCCACTACAAAAATATGACTAGAGTTTGCTTAAGTACTTCTTCTTAAGTACTTCTTCTAAAATTGAAATTAATAGTGTAGCCATTTTATTCCAAGTGGTGCTTGCAATCGTCAGCAGAAGAAATAATAGAATCGTGTCTCTTAATTTTTGTTTTTGCTGATAGCGTTTTTTTTCGGCGAACACTCAACTTATCTAAAGTGGTGCGGCGCGTTTAAATTGTCCGATCACCAAGCAAGCCTTGCCACTGCTAAAATGTTGTCTAATGAAGCTATTTCCATAATCTATTTAGTAGCTGCGATTTGCAGCTGCTGGAGTTTACAGGTGTGAATTAAGATTATAATAATTGTATAATTTTTATTAAGACAAAATAATTATCATGCAAATTTTACAAACAAGAAAATTAAAAAACTCTTACTTTAGGAGACGCAAGAAAAGGTTGGCGGTGGGAAATTAACCAAATTCACCTATTTGGACAAAACATATGAGATACAAGGACGCAAGGTGAGTTAAACAAATTTTGATTAAATAATATTATGCAGTCTTCACAATTATGAGCCATAAAAAGATTTTTGAGAATTTAAAACCCAAAGAAACCACTCGAAACGGAAAATAATTAAAAATTATCTCGCGTCTCGGAACGTAATTCCACTTCAAGGCGATTATTCACAAGTACTAATTTAACCATAAAAAGATGTTATAAATGATAATTTTTCATTAAATTTACAATCTAGATGTTATGTTCGTTTATCGTTTCGTATGTAAATTTCTTAATTTGAGAGATGATGAAGAAAAAAATACTAATTATACAAAATTGTATTATTTTCTAGACCAATTGGTATGATGCTAAAATAGACTGCGCTCTGAAAGGTCAAGAACTTTTAAGCGTTGAGACCTATGGAGAGCACGCTAGTGTGCAAAATGAAATGAAAAAAGGTAGTAAAAAAATCAGCTTTAAAAATGTTGTGTTCTGAGGAAGTTGGTGGTGCGGCTAAGAAAACATTATCTAATTTGTCTTCGTTGAAATTTTGACTTTGAAAAAAAAACATTTCCGTCGTAAACAAAAATAACCTAGAGCTTGATATCTTAATTTCAATAATTAATAAATATTTTTTAGCTGGCTATGGGGACGAGGGCTTTTGGACTTCTGGATTCGCGTACGCCCTGTTTGGCTATGCTAGCCAGGAATTCTATTGGGACTCGACTGGGCACAATTTGGGACCGTACGAAACATGGGAATATAACGAGAGGCCAAGCAATTTGACGATGGACACATGCGTTCTCATAAGTGACGCGTACACAGTTTACTGGGATGTCACCAATGATACAGACACCTGCCAAAATCTTAACTTGTGGTACATTTGCGAAACCCTCACTCAGCCGACTATACCACAAGTATTTTCAAAATTAAAAATTTATAAAAGAAATTAATATTCACGGAAAAATAATATTCCTTCAGGAACTATTTGAAGAGTCGTCAGACAGTCGAAGATTTGAATTTGACGGCACATATTATGAAATATCGGAACTAATGGTATATATACATTGACGTAATACTTGAAAAATTAATACATAAATTAAACAAATATTTTTAGCTTGATTGGTTTGGAGCAAAATATGACTGTCGTCGCCGAGGTATGGAACTGCTCAGCATTGAATCAGCTGCCGAGAATGATGCAATTTACAATGAAATCGGTTAATACTGGTGGCAAAAATTGATTATTTCATTTATTTCATTGACTGGTTTTTTCCCTGTTACAGCTCCATATGAACAGGATTTTTGGATATCAGGATGGAGATTTAAAAACCTCTTTTATTGGGACTCTACGGGTCACGGTGTTGGCCCATATGAGAATTGGGCACCAGGCTATCCCATCGACTTCTCAGAATCTAATTGTATTGTAATCAAACCAAGATACAATTACACATGGCAAAACTTCAAATGTGCGGGTGGTGCGGGTGGAACCACAATGAAACGATATATCTGCGAATATTAATTAGTTGTGCCTTAAATAAAAATATAAGTTTTCTTTAAAAACAGAGAACATAATGTTATACTATATTTTTTTTAATAGATTACATTATAAACTAAAAAAAAGTTTAATCTAGAGCAATTAATGAAATTAATTATTTTGTGTTAATTTTTAATGTAGCTTTTAGAAAATAGGCAAAACAATGTACAAAGTACATTAGCGTTATTAAAATAAAAATAGGTTATTTACGTAATTTGAGGCCAATAATTCATAAACTGTATGCGTCCATTTATAAATAAATAAGCAGACACGTCTAAAATACGGTTGTAACAAAATTAAATTTTATAAATTTCTTCTAATTAAAGAAGCGTCTTTCTTGACATACCCCTTTAAAAGTTCAAATCAAAAACAAACGCGGGTGGTTGTTTGAGACAAAATTTACGACAAATCACAAAACTGACTGAGCTCGGCTGTAAATAATCGCTAATTGGGGCAGTTTAAAACCAAATTTAACGAGCTGAATCCTAATTTAACGCACGCACCGATTTCCCATTAGAATCCACAGAGAAGTTCGGTACTTTGTAGCCAAAGGGTGAAGGCAGTGCGACTCGGAGCGAGGCCGCGCGATGATGATTGCAATTTAATAACGTTGCGTGCCGCCGCATAATATTCTAATAGCCGCTAATCAGGCCGAATCTCATAATATTGTATTGTGTGACAACTTTGAACACCAATAAATTTCTCAATCCTATCGCGATCAAGGAGCCCTCTGCCTCTTTCCATACCTTTCTGTGTGTTTAATAATCATAATCGCGGCCGCGACTTTCTTACGCCACTGATTCCGTGTTTTTCAAGCGTAAATTCCCAGCAGCGACTCCAAAATAAATTCCCCAAATAGATTAGCCCTATTAATTATCATTTATTATGTTGTGTGTCAACAGTTTGATATTTACTGACCGAATTTAAATATGAATCGTGTCACTTACAAGCGGCCGCTGCGATAAGGCAGGTGGAATTTATTAACGCATTATTCCGCGCGCTTTGTGTCTAAAAATCGTATATCACTGAAGTGTGGCTTATCGTAGAAACGGAAAAGTTCGAGATATTTCCAGCTTGTGTAAGTAGGTCATAAGAAAAATTAAATTTTTTTTGCACAAATCAAATAAACCCTGACTTAAAAAGGATAAATTGTATACATTTAATAACTTCATAAAGTTTTACCTTTTTAATTATTATTATTACTATTATTTATTCTTCTCGGTCAATACAAAAATTTTAATTGGAAAAAAGAGAAGAAAGGGTTTACAACTAGCAGAAGTCTGCTAAAACGCCCGACATCAAAAGAGACACGGCCGCCGCGGTAAAATATGAATTTTGAATTTTTTTGATTCAAATATAATTTTAAAAAATATCTCGAGAACCAATTTCACCTCATAAATTTCTTTTATATTGCTAACTAAAATATTATGTATTTTATTCAAACCAAAATTTCTTACTAAAATTGAATGTCGAATTATTTAACGTAAAGAGTAGAATTTTAAATTATTATATAATAAATATTATTCTGGATTATTCTCAGCTCATGAAATTGAATACGGCTTTACCTCCAAACCTCAGCTGGCTCGCTTTCTTTCATCTAATTTATTGTGTGAGTAACTGACTGCTGAGTCACGTGTGAGTCTACAATACCCTATTGTAGATGCAAATGCATAGTTGGGCCACAATAATAATAATAAATGAGCTGGCCGGCACCGTTTATCTTTTCCAATCAGTGGAGGCGGTCAATAGACTCTCTCTGGAAATGGAACTCGCTCGGTCCGTGTGAGTGAGTGAGAGTGTGCATGTTCTTTGGCCATGCCAAAAGCCAAAGGCAGCCGATCGATCTTGCGCCGCCTGCCTATTTACGATTTCTATAGCCGATAATATATATTTTGGTTTGAATTTTCTTTTAGCAGGCAATCTAATTTATGTCTAAATTAACCCCTTCGCGCCTCTAGTCTCGGCTTTAAAGAGAAATCGGAGGAAGGAATGGGGAACGAAAATATAATAAGGGGTCAAAACTGATGGTGAGTTTGATAAGTTTTCACACGTCGTCTTTCAAAAGTTGGCTAGTAAATATATAATAATGCTTAAAACAAGGAGGAAAAATTCTTTTTTTTTAATCGCTTTAAATTCTTTATGATTATCTTGCTCCAAATATCCGCATTCCAATTCAATGTAAGTGAGGCTAGAAATTAAAATTTTTAAACTTTTACAAGGATGACTGGTGCTTAATTTGAATTTATGTTTTCTTTGAAAATCAGTAAATTAAACATTTTTATATTTGTTAGCTGGGATTGTAATTGAATGATCTCATCATTGATAAATATTCCTTCTCCAAAACTCTTGCTGGCCTCTCCATGCGAGTTGTAGAAATCCATGCACCAATGGCCAACGTTATGTACACACTTCTTTTGCAATCTCCCGCATTCAAACTTGACTGTTTACTTTATTTTATCCAAGCGAACTCCCTTCCTCCAGATCTACCTAATAAAAATCGGCCTGGGAATTCACCGCGCTCGGAAATCTTTTCCTCCCGCCACCGCGGCTTTCCGTTTTCCTGTGCAAACTTTACTTTCAACGTTTGGTTTTTGGTCGGTGCGTTTTATTACTGCGAGCAGTTCTCTTGCTTGGATGACTCAAGGATACATCAGCGGCAGGCGGAGATATTATTCGGAGAGATATCCATCCAGAGAGAGAGAACGCCCGTGAGGTCTGTTACTGCTGAAAGATGAATTCCCCCGGCACCATTTATCCAATTATTCGCACAGCCTCTCGCTGCACGTGATGAGACCATAGCTAATATTTGCAATAATTAAACGCTTGATTTAATTTTTCTCCGCAGCCGTATTTGCTCAAGAAAAATTGGAATCTCCTGTTTCTTTGCCCAGCCAGAGGCATATTCCGAGTGGAGGAAATCCAGATCTAAATACTTCAAAAGTAAGGTGCATCAAAAGATTATTATTTAAAATATGATTGCACTTTCAGTTGTTAGTAGAATTAAATAATTGACAAAAAAAAGTGTAATTTTTTTACAATTTTACAAAATATGAAATATGATGCATAATAATAAAATTTAAATGTAGGTTAGTTCTGAAAAAAAAAAATTGTGAATATTGATACCATCAGGAAGTTTAAGTTTATAAAATATTAAGACCCAAATATTTACATAATATGATATATTTCTACATTTAACTAAGAAATTTTAATATAATATCTAAGCGGAAACAAAGTATTGAAATTTTCCCCTCCAAAGTCTTTCTTTTTTGATGAAACAAACTTCCTGATTGTTTTCCGCCCCCTCATCTCATTCCAATTGAAATCCAGTACAAAACGAAAAGTTCTCATTATTTATTTACATTCATACCTGCGCTCTGCAAATCCAATAACTGAATAACTGCGAGTTTTGTATCGGATTTTGACAAAGGCGTATATATTTATTATTCCCTCGTTAATTATTAGCCGAGCAGTGTATAAAATCAATATTGAGCAGGTGCTTTCTCTGCTCGAGTTCGTTCGCATGCTCATTGTGTCAAATCCCCAATTCGCAGGAGACAGCCAATTGAATTTATCTGTTGAGCAAACACAACAAAACAGCTCGGCGGCTCTACAATGAGAGTACGTATTGATTCAAGAAAGGGAGTGCTGCATACATAACGAATTGGAATTAATACACACCTGACTTGTTATTAAGTCTGCCTGGCGAGGTCTGCTCTCTTCTTATCGTGGCCCCTTTTAGCGAGAAAACGTATTTGTTCAGAGAAAGCTGCTGCTGCTGTCTGCCTTCGAAGCAGAAGAAGAAGAAGTGGAAACCTTTTGCTTCAATATTTGCTCATCTTATCGAATCTTATTAGCCCATACAATTCTACCGCCGCGCTTCTCCCTTTCTGCATTACACGTTGGCGCCATAAATACACAGCATTATTCGCGTTTACTGCATATTAAATCCCTTTTCCCAATATATACTCGGCAGTCGTGCTTGGTGCGTGTTATTATTGCAACTCTCTAATAGTGTTTGCACAGTCAATACCATACCCTCTTATAACGGATGTGAGAGATAAAAATATGCATGTTAGAAACAATGAGGCGAAAATGAGCTTAATAAAATGAGCGTAAAATAGCTATCTATCATTAAAAATAAAAAGTTAATATTTTTTTTTAAATATTGACAAAACCAAATAAATTAATATTTCATCAAACACACAATAATCTACAATAATAATTGTAAGCAATGCCATGCGTCAATTTCATAATTTCAATTTTTCCCTATTTTTAATTTTTTTTTAATGAAATGAATATTAAATAAGTTTTGGTTTATATTTCTTACATTTGCGAGATCCTCATCAGAACTTGTCAAATGTTTCCAAAAACATAGAACGCTTGATTTTGACCATTGGGGAAGTTTGGCGCTGGTTTGAGGCCTGCCGTTTGTCGTGAGAATCAATTTATGCTTGCCTGTGGAGCTGGCGGCGGGCAGTCGTGCAAATCTATTAGGACGAGACCAGCGTCCCCCGGCGACGTTCGGCACGCGTTTGGTCTCTCTTGGCTTTCTCGGCCGCACGTTGATGGAATACAAAGTTATTTGCCAATACAGAGATAATATTAGGTTTGTTTCCTTTGCGCATGTAAAATAGGTGAACGGGGTGGGCGAAGGATTCAATGATAAGAGAGGCCACTACTCTTTACCTGCTCGCCAACGTATGCATATTAGGGTCCTGCTCTCAAATCTGTCAGATAATGTATGTGTGTGTGTGCCCGACAAGAGAAAGCAGCAGCCGAGCGGTTTCGGCATTGCTCAAGAAAATAAGCGTCTCTCTCTTTTGAACCCCATCAGGTTTACCTTTCCTCACTCGTCTCTCGTTCGCCTGCCGACGGGCAAGCAGAGCTATGCAAATACAATTAAGCCGTGCTGACCACCAGGTCTGCATTTCTATTTGAAGCCTTAGGACTCACATAACTTGAGGCCCGGCCAGGCTGCCGACCGACCGACCGGTCTAATTCTATGTGAGAATAATTCATAAAATCATTTGCTCCTAACCTATTTGAATATTTTATATATCGCCTGGCGCGGTCGGTGCCGCTCTCTGTGTGTGTGTATCGGAGCGGCGCGGTGCGGATGCTGATTTACACACCTCCGGGAGACCGGCCTGATATTTTATTCAATGGATCGGGCTTCTAATTATTTTGCACGCCGCGCGGCGGCCCAGGATAATTAATTAAAACTACGGAATTAATGCGATTAATTATTCATCGGTGGGTGTTGATGCGAGAGACTAATAATTCATGGAA